TCTTCTGCCAATACCAACATTCAGTTAGACAAAGGGTGAATCTATAGAGTTTGCCTGCAGCTCCCCAAATAACAAAATCCTCCTGATCTGAGTTCTCTGAAACTTTGAATTTCTGAGTGATGTTCAGATGGTACTCTGGCTACTTCTAATCACTAACCCATGTTGATATAATTTAGTTAACTTCATGTGACGGCTCTGAGCTGCTTGCATACGTACCATTCCCGGGGCAACAAGAGACAAACTACAAGCAAAGCAGTGAAAAGCTGTGCTATACTCTGCATGAATGTGGTGAACTTTTGCTGGATAAGACTTGCTGCACTTGTGGCATTGTCAGCATCTAGTACAGTGTAACCACACTTATGAATGTTTACTGCTCTCTGCCATTGTCACTAAGATCAAGGTGTCTGTGTGTGAGTGTGTAAAAGAGAGATCGCTGGCCTCGCCCCTCGCACTGAGCCTCAGAGAGGGGAAAATCCTTTTTTAGGTTTGCAATAGTGGAAATTTATCAGAGTTGAGCAGATGATATGTACAACATAATGTATATGTAGTAGTAATAAACAGGAAGTCTATTTTCCTAATTTCTCCTGTACAAACAGCAGAATTGACGATGTTGGAGCTTGTAATTTAACCACTGGGCCTGTTTAATACTAGGCCTCAGTACCCATATGCATGGTTGGTTGGTTGGTTGGTTGGTTGAATGGGGATTGCTAATAACTTTGCTAGCAACAGAGTGTTGTTTTAGCCAAGAGGACTAATTCCTGATGTGTGAATGTTCTGCATATTTACTTACAGGCAGTATACTGTTTTTGTATTTCTACCATTCTGCCTCATGTCAAAGTGCCACTTAGCTTCAAAGGCTCCAAATTTGCAAAAAAAAAAAAAAAAAACCTCCAGATACTATGGTTAAATCCGTTTTATTTATAAATCACATTGCATACACACTGAGATAGAAGATAAACAGGTGAGATAGAAAACACGTAAATCCTCCTCAGGAATAAAAGAACCTCCCAACCATGTACAACACAATTCACAATTCCACTTTTTAATCTTCCTGTCCTATTCCTACTGCAACATTCACACATGGATTACAACACGCACGCACAGAAACACACAGACAAACTACCAGCACCATAGTGACCAAATGCGCCTTCGCCTGAATTAGTTTTAATTCCAGGTAGATGTACAAGATATATACTTAAGGGTCTGAGGGATCTGATTTGACTTTAGCCAGTGAGCAGGTTGGAAATATTTTTAGGAGCCTTGTCATTTTAAACAAGCAGTAATAAATTAATTCTGTAGCGTCCCAGCAGCCATTGTCATCAGTTCAGGTGTAGTTTGATTTATTTTCTTAGTCCAAGTTAGCACTCTGGCTTTGGTTTTGGGAATGAGTTTGAGCCTACCTTTGGCCTCTTGAGAAGTCCTGCAACAAGGGCATTACAGTAATATGATCGGCTATGAGATTAATGCACGGACCAGCGTTTTGGAGACCGACTGTGACAGGAGGCTTTCCCTGATCACCTGGCTAATAAACTACTAGTCCTAGTTAAAGTACATCCCTATACGCATAGTTATCCTTCTCCTGTGTTGTTATATAGCAGCACCGCCGTTGCTGCCTGACTTCTCTGCTAAATGGCAGCCAGCGAACCCTTGAACAGGCAGCTGGTACCAGCCAGAGAGAGAGGCACGCCTCATTAATTTAATCGATTTGCAGTGGCTTGAGAATAAACTCTTTGAACAGCTGTGTTTGTCAGCTCATATTAGCTTTCCAAAGAGCCAAAAAGCACCCTCACTTTGATGAACTGGCCTGTGTGTGTGAGTTTTAATTTGTACACGTGTGGATGTGAGTGAAAAGACATTGATTCATTGCTAATTTATAATGACTTGAAGGTCTAACCTTTCTTGGCGTTTGATATCATAATTACATTTAAAAATTACTGACCTAAACTTTGATAAGGTCTTTCAGTCACTGTGCTTTGGCTCTACAAGGCACTGAATTGCTTATTTGTTTGTACAGTATGTGACATCTTTATTTGTCATGATTGCTCTTAGGTTTGAACTACTCAGAATTTCTCTTTGTAGACCATGCTCCCACATCCATATTTTTGACTTCTGTAGTGGATTATAAAAGCTTAAACCCCACATGAAGTTTCTTTGAGTCAGGCAGAGGGTTATGAGCCAAGCTGAGCTGAATCAGGTAAAGACTTAGCTGAACCAGTTCATGTATTTCTAGAAGCTCGGCTCCTTTTCCCAGAATTAGGGTTTTGAATATAGCAGGAACTTCATTGTTCCCTGCTCCGCAACTGTCACCAAAGCAGCTCCTGGGTAACTCTAAATATGCCGATCAGATTTAACGAGGCACTTTTCATCCAAACAACTCTCGCTAATGCCAGTTTATTCCAGCTATGCTACCCATGGGCTAAGCTCCCAGTCACCCGCCGCTCTGAATTTATCCGCTAAGTCTCCCCAAACACACAAACGCAGCATTATTTCACACTTATACACACTCATTCTTTCACATATACACTCATACGCACAGTTACACTTCCTTCAGTTATGTAAAACATGCTGAGTGTCATTTCAGGCCAAGAAATGAATTGAATACATGATCAAAGAGAATGCATCACTGTGAAATGCTAGCAGAAATTGAAGAGAGTCATTCATCACTGCAGGAAATGTCAAAATAATTGCTGTAATTAGTCTTGTGGGTTATGTCTTTTCTGAGGTCCTGTCATTTAAAAGGGTGTATATATTTTATCCATTCCACTTTTCTTTCAGTAACAGGTACCAGACCTGTTCTGAGAGGATTAAGTTTTTGTAGTGTGAAACTTAGAAAAGAAAAAAAAAACATGGTGAAAGCATAAACTATGTTCATTTTCAGTAGATGTAGGCAGCCAGAAGAGCATTTAAATGTGTTTTTTGTTTTAATAAAGACAAGAAGAAAAAGAATCAGGCTTGTCATGTTGTCTCATGTTGTAGTTTTGTAAACACAAGTGTGTTGCTAAATGACTGAATGTGCACCACACTGACCAAACCAAACCAAATCTGGAGTTTAATGTCTTACACTAAACCTGAACAAGTGTCTAGACAGCCTTCAGGCTATGGAGTAAACTTGCTGGACATCAGTTTTTGCTGTGTCCCCACCTTTACCTTACCCTGCCAGTGGCTCAGCCGTCTGTTGTGACCTGGTCCAGTCATCTCCATTACTTAGAGTGAGTTGTTGTGCTGCTGTTATTTTGTTGCTAAGGGAAGGAATGTCCACATGACCTATGCCAGGTCATCCACTGGGCCACCAAACTGCAACGTTGGCAGTATTGCCATCCCACTGCTCAAGCGTGGCATCGCAAGTAGCAGAATAGATGCACATACACGGTTACACTTGGTCAGTGCCACGTGGGGCTGTCCAGGCCTGTCACAATGTGTCCAGGCCCTGTCCTTCGTTGTGCACCAGACCCTGCCTGTGTCACAGTGTGTCAGCCTGATTAAAACAGGTCTGTATGCAGAGAGCCACGCCTCAGCTTTCTGAGACGGAGATGGGCTTTGATTTTCATAATCCTGTCTCATCAGTGCGCCCTGGCCCCTTAACACATGCGCTGACAGAGCAGGACTGCAGTGTCAGAGCAAACAGAAGAATTGCTTTGTGCCGCAATGCTAATAAGCACAAAGAATCTGACATGGCTGTGTATCTTCACACATGCAGTGGTGTTGCAATTGGAAAAAATCTCTCTGACGGGGAGGTAATATCCCAAAAGAGAGGCTGGAACTACACCTTGTTTCTTTTTATAAATATGATGCACAAATTTCATGATACACAGTCAGAATGTTTCGTTAATTCATTGTAGTAGAAATAGACATCAGATTGTCCCTGTTGTAATCTTAATCGTTTCAGTCATTACCAAATCATTATCTTTGGACAGCAATTAGTTATTATCTGCTTATTGTCATCCCTCCTCTGGATCAGAGTGTTAGCTAAATTTGTAATTTGCAAATGCAAATTTTCTAGCTGACTAACCTTCTGTTTATCTCCTCTTTCTGTATAGTCCCAACATGCTCCACCAGGTGGCCTCATATCTGTGTCTGCTGCCAGAGCTGTCTGAAGGGCAAGATACCACCATTGAGAAAGAGGTTCTGCTTGAGTTGCTGGTAAGTGCAGTGATAGCTTTTATTTTTATTTTTTTTTACATCATTCATATGAGCATTGAAGTTTTTAAACCTGAACAATCTTTTGGGATGCCACATGTGTTGCTTTAATTCATACAAAGAGTCAGTGAAGCAGTGTATTTTCTGCAGTCTTACTTTATAAAATGGTCCTTTTGTTTTTCAGTAAATTAGACATTCAAATATTTATTCCAGGATTTCCGGGCAAGTTTAATTCCTCAGAGCTTTAAATTGATGAAGCAATGCATCAGGTATTGGTAGCTTGTCAGCTTGCAATAAAAAAGATGTATAGTTGGTGTTGGGAAACAGTTATTTTCCAGAAAATTAACTGGCTGCTCAGCGCTACGGCATAATAGGTTTTGTGTTTCACATTTTAAAGTAATTAATTTAGGCTCTTGACCTTGGAATACATATAGTATCCCCTCTTCACTGCTCCATCCCTCTTGAATTTGCCTTCTAATCCAATTATTGCTTTATGTGGGCATTTGTGTAACATAGGGTAAATTGAAGACAGTCTGATGAGATAGAGAGCCATTCATTTCCTTCAATTTTGTAGTATCTCTTGAAAAGCTTGCACTAATTTGATTGTGCTCTCTGGTTGCCCTTCCCTCACTCTTCTAATTTTCTTTTTGAAAACCTCTCCAGGAATCTGCTGGACTCTTGTCCCGCTAGTCTCCCCAATACACACTCACACGCACTGTAGACCTCTTCATCAAAGTGGATGTTTCAAGGCTGTCCTGCAGTTATTCATAATTACCCATGAGAAGTGATATTGAAGAGCTGTTTTGTAATTATCTGATTAGATTGTTGCTGGAGACTATGTCAGGGGTTTCATTTGCGTGTGCCTGAGGTTGCCCCCAACAACCAACATCCCTGACTGGCTGGATTTAATAGGAAAGAGGCCAGAGGATCTGAACTCTGCTGCATAGTGGCAAAACAATCATGCATGCTACAGAACACTGTCATAAATATGCTTAGGGAGGAGGAACTGCTCTTTCTGAGAGGCAGCACTGCTGCCAGTCACAATGTTAGGATAGTTTAAGCTGTTTACTTCCTCTAGTGAAACAGATGAGCTAGTTTGAATTCAGCAGCAAATATCCCTCTACTTCACGTTGTGAATAATTCATGTGTTTTATGGGTTTTTCCATAAGAGTAAAAGCAACAACAGTTGGGTTCACATATACAAAACCTCAGCCTAAGAGCTGGCAGTAGATAGACAGGCAACCTAACTATGAAATACAATTGTCCTTGTTACCTATTTTCTTTAAGCAAAACATATTTGTAACAATACAACCAGAGATGCAATAATGTCTTGATCATATTCATATGTGTGAATATATGTTTCTTTAGTTAAATACAATATTGTTCTTAAATGAGTTTACAGACATACAGTGATCCCATCATAATATCTGCATGGGCCCTGTCACCTTTCACCTCTAGCTTCTATATATTATGTGACATGGCCTCTAATCCTCTTAGACATAAATGCCTCTAATCTTCTCAGACATAAACATGATGCAATTCTTTGGTTTGATAACCCAAAATGTATATAAATCTTCATCCTGTGAACTAGCCTTGGTATTTCTGTTTATTTAGGCACACATATTGATAAATTGAACTCTAGAAAAAAAACTGATTAGAAACGAAAAACAAATGTAACAACGTCTGGTTTGAGTGACCTTGCTCTTTATTTCCTGGCCTGTCCTTTTGTAAGGGACAATATGAAGATCCTAAACACTCAGAGGGGCGTTTTGTCATTAACCCAGGTTCTCTGTGTCTGTCTTGCTTTTTGTTATACCCACACAGGTTTCCCGTCATGAGCGCAGAATCTCTCAGATTGAGCAACTTAACCAGATGCCCCTTTATCCAACAGAGAAGATAATCTGGGATGAGAACATTGTCCCAACAGAGTACTACTCAGGCGAAGGTGTGTGTTTTAATTGAGTGTGTGAACTGTGACTCTACTGGCTTGTCTGTGTGAGTTGACGTACACTAGAGCACATGCTAATTTCGACTGTCTAGTCGTTGCCTCATTCTCTTATCATAAGGACACTCACCTGGTGCTTAACTGGCACCTCTCTCTTTTGGGAACCTTCTTCAGTTGACACCTTCAGCAACTCACACTTCACTAGCTGTTCAAGCAGCATCTCTAAAGCACATTACTCACATGCTGTCACATGCAGACATGCAGTAGTCTGTGTGAAATCAGGAATTTTGTTTGATTTACTGTAAGTTTGTGTGTGTGCGTGTTTTAGTTTGCTTCATACTGTCTTTCTATCTGTTTCTTTCTTTGTTTCTTCATCTGTGCAGGTTGCCTGGCTCTACCAAAGCTGAATCTCCAGTTCCTGACCCTACATGACTACCTGTTGAGGAACTTTAACCTCTTTCGTCTAGAGTCCACCTATGAAATCAGACAGGACATAGAAGATGTAGTGTGGCGTATGAAACCATGGTAAGATGTCCTTAATTTTTGTCAGTATCAGAAAAGACTTGGTCTGCAATACCAGATTACTTTCTTGGTTAAAAAGAAATGATAAAATCTTTTGAAATGACGGGTAGAGACTTGTGATTGTAAGTACTACTAAGTACCACTAACTCAACTACAGCACAAATTGCCTTCTTACTTCAATGAATTAAAGTTATTATTCTCTATCCACCTCTCATGGCGGCACAGCAAATTGATAATATTTATTAAAGACTATGACATTTGGTGCCCCACATTTGGAAACCCATTGCCTAACATAACAACTGCTCCCATTATGTCAAGTGATGGAGCAACTTGGTTGTTGTTCCTGCAAAAGTAAATAAGTAAGCAGTAGCGCCATGTGCTGCCCTAAATCCAACTGATTTTCAGTCTTGACAACCGCCCACAGCGCTTGTCTTAACTTCTTGTTGTCTGTCCCTCTGCACAGGCAATCAGAGTATGGAGGGGTGGTGTTCGGGGGCTGGGCTAGGATGGCTCAGACGATCACCTCCTTTTCCATAGTCGAGGTTGCCAAGCCCAACATTGGAGAGAGCTGGCCTGCCCGTGTTCGTGCCGATGTCACCATTAACCTCAATGTACAAGATCACATAAAGCATGAGTGGGAAGGTAATAGTAGTGACCCTTTGTTGGCTTTATATTTAGCCTATTTACATTACTTTTTAAAAACAAATTTCTGTCTACTGTGTGTGTGTGTGTAATATATCAATCTAGACACCTGTAATACTTAATCTGTTTTGTTTTCTGTGTTGTAAACTAGTCACAAAACACATTACATCTGAAATCTGTATTGCATTATCACTGTCCCCTTCTATGTTGCCATACTGTGCCTTTACTTTTCCTATTTCTTCTTTTATTATGTATCCTAACAGTTCTCCTACTAAGCAATTTATAACGTCCATAAAGTCTTCCCATACCACTGTGTTCCATCCCATTGGGCCTTGGCTCATGACCCTTGCCTACCTCCTGTCTCTAAAGACATGCTATTTCTGTGTAGCCTCTATCACAAAGCCTTTCAGTTTTATTTCTTGAGCATTTTTCTTTCTATCTCTCTGTGTAGTTGATAAGAACACTATAGATAATATTAACAGCCTGACAGCCTTAAAAGACTTTGATTCACTGGGAACATAGAAAAACCACTGACGCCTCTGACTAACTGTTTGCTTTAGCTCTCTGGAGAAAAAATCAAGGTTATATGTTCACATACCAAGAAAAAAAATGCTGTGGAAATAATTAAGTCAACACTTGAAGAAAACATTAAAAAAATTAAGTAATTATCCCAAATTGACATCTCCACTCTCATGATAATCACTTTTAACCTTTTTCTTTTTTGTAATTTAATAGTACTATCTGCTTTTCTATCATTCCTCGATTTAGAGCTTTATGTTTGGCAGATCAGGTTAATGCTGATGGGCTGGTTTGTTTTCGCTCCTCCATCGCTTCTCTTTTTGGCCTTTTCTCTCTCACTCCTCTACATGCTATATATATGTAAAATGCTTTGCTTTTTTCCTTTATTCCTCTATCACTCTAACCTTTCCATCCATCCCCTTTTCCTGTAGGTCTGCGGAAGCACGACGTTTGCTTTCTGATCACGGTGCGGCCCAACCTGCCCTACGGCACGCGCTTCGACCGACGTCAGCCTTTTGTGGAGCAGACTGGCCTTGTGTACGTGAGAGGCTGCGAGGTGCAGGGCATGCTGGATGACAAGGGCCGCGTCATTGAGGAAGGTATGCTCATATATGCCTCTGCCTGCATATTGTACACACCCGTGACACATGACATCCATCCTCCCATCATCCCTACCAATTAATCCTCAGGACAGGGTCAGGCTGGCGTTGTCATGGTGACAGTCACAGTGAGACCTGACCTGTTCCCATTAACATTCCATTAACCTGAGGTCGGCAATAACACCTGAGAGCTACAGGCCCTGCCCTCTGCTTTATTTATTGGATGTAACTGAAGAGTTGTATTGGCTTCATCTGTGATTTTTTTTTTTTATCTGTAAGAGAACGCTGAATGTACTTGCCCTATAGAGTACAGTCATACAAGTTATATAAACTCCACTCACCTCTGAAGCAAGGTATAGCCAGCAACAGTGCTTTCTAGCATTAAAACACTGATTTCAGCTCAGAATAAAATTTTACAGGTAACCTACTATTTTTCTCTAACAAAAGCCTTAAAATGTGCTGTCATCAAGTATAAGACTCAGAGAGTCTTTTTTGTGTTCACAGATTGAATACCCTCAGACCAAATTCAAATCTCTGGTCTTTCCTGGAAAGTAAAGTATATTTATACAGGAACACGATGTTCTCGGTTTGCTTTGTTGTTGTCTTTCTCACAGCCCAAAGCAGTCCCTCTGAGTGGCTGCTTCACCCAAGTTAGCCTGCAAGTGTTTGCCTTTTTCCTCTGTCAGAACATGTGTCCGTGTGCTGAAGCACCCTCTTCCCTATCCTCTCTCATCTGTTTGGATTAAATATGCAGAGGCAGGGCTTTCTAAATAGACATGATGCTAGGGAACATACCCTGCCAATGTCGGCTTGGTTAAACTTTCAGATCCCCAACAGCGATAAGTGGTACTTTGGCTAACTGGGTGGTGGGGTGATGTCACATAAATCACTGGGCACTCGGTGAAGGTATGAGAGACACAGGATGAAATGTGCATTTTTCAAGTCTAGGAATTGGCATGGTGCCCTTTAGAAACTACACTGCTGACCATTTGTATAAAATATTACAAATGTCCATATTCTTCATGATTTCATAAACAATTTATCTCAATTTAAATCATGTAATGATTTAATCCCACCTTTTAATAACTTGACAGTTTAATACAATGGCACATACTTGTTAGTGCTCACACACCTTGGCCCAGCTGTCCACAGTGTTGCTGCATAGTGTTGAGGGTATAGCTTCCACTCTTAAGCTATCACCATGCTCATTTTAGCAAGGGGATTTGATGATCCCAACATAACTGTGCACATGTGTACTTGGGCACACACATCAGAAGCAGACAGGATTGGTATCACTCTCTTGCTCCCTGCCCCACCGCTCCACACACAATCTATTTAGAAATCTGTGAAAACTGCACTTGCTGCACCACACAGGCTCCCTGTGGGAATAAGCCTACAGCCTGTTGTCTGTCAGTCAAGCGTCAACACATAATTCCTGTTTCCGAGGGGGCACGGAACTTGCCTTGGTCAGGTCTTTTTAAAGGGTTATATTTTTTTAATGTAAGAATAAATAGGAAATTACCATTGAAATAATGGTTTTATATCTGAAATTCAAATGATTTAGATTAAATTTTAATATTGACCTTTGTCCCTCCAAAGACATGCCCTGCCATTTTCTGTTCTGTTTTTCTGTCCGGGCCCTCGTCTAGATTTTCCTGTAGACTATATGACAATTTATTATAGTGTTTTGAAAAAATGTCATACAAATTTAGAGTGCTACTTCTATGTTTGTCTCTGCAGGAAATTAGTACTTCATTGCTGTAAAAAGAATTCTTTCTGCCACTCTGATTTAGGACCTGAACCAAAGCCAAAGCTGCGAGGAGACGCCAGAACGTTTCGTGTATGGCTGGACCCAAACCAGTATCAGCAGGACATGACCAGCAGCATTCAGAGTGGCACTGAAGACCCATATGAGACGTTCAACATCATCATGAGACGCAAGCCCAAGGAGAACAATTTCAAGGTGCGGCCCACAGGTGGAAGCACACAGATCAGCCCTCCCTGTATATTGTACTTGAGTGGTTTATCTTCAGGCCTTGAGCTCTGGTCCTACCAACACCACCCTGAGTGATGTATTGCACATATTATGCTCTCTTGGGTATTGTAGCTGTAAGGTTGGGGCCAGGGCAAGTCTGAGATTGTTGCCTACTCAAGGCCCTTCCGATGACTCCCCCCCCCATTAAGAATTCTCTTGTGGCAGCGTACTCGTGCTCTACGTCTGACTGTTGATATGCTTTCTGTTGGAAAGCACATCCGTGTTATGTAGTCATTGTAATGTCCTACAGAAGGACATTTTATTGACCTTAAATGGCAATAAATTAGGAAATCTATATCAAAGTTCTGATTTAAGATTTTTACACCTGTACACACAAAAGTTGTTTTTTTTCTGCAGGTCATAATAACATTAACCAAGTAAGTTTGTGAAACTTTGGTTAAAAATCCCAGTCTTATGTGGCTTCGCTCTATTTTGTTCAGCATTTTCAGAATGTTAACCATGCAAAGCACTCTTTCATCATGTCTTTATTTGAGAGCTTCTCATTACAGCTTTGTCAAATCTGCTATTTCTAACTCTGCACCCATTTCTGTCTTTCACAGCCTAAGCAATGACAGATGTTTTTGAAGTGTTTTTTTTTTTCCCCCTGAATTTGAAAAGCATAGGAACTAATGGGTATTCAAGAAACATTCTTCTCCATCTTTGATCTATGACACACATAAAAGTAAACACATTTCCCCACACAGTGTTTGATGCACAGGGTATTAGACAGTTTGCAGCTCATTAAAATATAATTGACAGACTTACAAATTACCTGCTGTCCCATCAGCCCACCACAAAGCTATTCTTATCCAGCTAAACTACCTCTTGTGGGATGGTTGTCTGCTGTCTGATGTTCCTCATTCAGTATGGTCTTGCTCCACTAGGTTCTTATATTTTTTACTTTGCATTTGATTGGTTTTATACCTGTTACTTTTCTCTATTTCAGGCAGTGCTAGAGACCATCAGAAACCTGATGAACACAGAATGCGTTGTCCCAGACTGGCTTCATGACATTATCCTTGGCTATGGTGACCCAGGCAGTGCCCACTATTCCAAAATGCCCAATCAGATCTCCACGTTGGACTTCAATGACACCTTCCTGTCCCTTGACCACTTGAGGTCATGTTTCCCTGGTTGCACCATAAAGGTCATGGAGGAGAATCCTGAACTGCAGGTCCCCCCTTTCAGGTGAAAGTGAAAGATTCAATAACAAAATGATAACACAAGCTTTTTGTTGTTGTTGTTCTAATTTACTTTAATCAAAGTCAGTATAAAACATTTATCATTTTATGTACTTGCTGCAATATTTCTGCAATTATTTGTATATTGTGTTGCATTGTATTACAATCCCTCTTTTGTTTCTTTTACTTTACCAGAATCAAGTTTCCCATCTCAAACAAAACGGACAAAGGGAAGAAGAGAAAGGCTGATGAAGAAATAGAAGACAAAGAGGAAGACATGGCCCTACTTGTTGAACCCTACGTCACCCCCAACCGTGGGCCATATCCCTACAACCAGCCCAAACGGTGAGAGGTCAAGACCCAGGCCTTCCCATTCTGAGCTTAATGACATGAAGGGTGACAAAGTTGTAGAATGTTTGGTTAAACTGTCTGTAATCAGTGCAGTCAATTCTGCAGTCACTGACTTCTTTTTAAAGATTGTTACACCTTATCTAGCACGCTGCCCACAGTATATAGTCCAATAATAATAACTTAAACATTATTGAAGTGCTATCCTCTTAGCTGTGTTCATTTATAGATGGTGAACGGGAAATGTCTTAAAATACCTGTACGAATTGTAACAGCACAGAATCATTGTCCATCCATTATCTATACACCGCTTAATCCTCACTAGGGTCGCAGGGGGCTGGATCCTATCCCAGCTGACTTAAGGCGAAGGCAGGGCACACCCTGGACAGGTTGCCAGTCTATCACAGGGCTACACTTAGAGACAGACAACCAAGCACACTCACACTCACACCTACGGACAATTTAGAATCACCAATTATGTGGACCTTGTGGGAGGAAGCCGGAGAACCCGGAGAGAACCCACGCTGCACGGGGAGAACATGCAAACTCCACGCAGAAAGATCCCGGGTGTCCTCACTGGGACACGAACCGGCAACCTTCTTGCTGTGAGGCAACAGTGCTACCGACTGCGCCACCTTGCAGCACAAAATAATTGTACCACATGAAAAGTTAACATTCATCTAGTGGTGTTTGAGCATGTATTTCAAGTTTGCACTTTTATATTTAAATCTTAATAGGAGCTACACGTCCATGACGAGGCCCCAACTTAATCTTTCGAGATGATATCAGAAAGCATCACAGCCCCATTTGCAGCAATAGGCAGCTCATAAAAAAACTAATGAAAACGTTTGAATACAAATGTGTTTATGCTTTCAAGGCTGTTCAGGTTCTGAAGCAAATTTGTTGATTTATTAATATCAGCAATGTACATTTCTTGCAGGAATACAATTCAGTTCACTCCAACGCAAATTGAAGCCATTCGAGCCGGGATGCAGCCAGGACTAACCATGGTGAGGATCTTGTATTCAGGATTTTGTTGTATAAGTTGCTCATGTTAAGTTTAAGATTTAACTCAAGCTGTCTAAAGAGAATCTGCAAAATTTTGATTTAGTGTTTGACCAAATTCCTCATTTCCATTACTTATATACCGTGAGGCAAATTTCACTGACCCCCCTGCTCCCACTGTAGGTTGCGTACATTTAGAGCTGCAGATGCACCAATTTTTATGCACATCCACACTCTGCCATCCCAGCCTGCTACTGTTATGTCACTAGCAGTGTAACACATTGTGCTATTCTGATGTGCCGATTGGAAAGCTGGCAGCGAGATTGGAGTTATTTATTGCGCCGCGAGCTTAGGTAAATATGGCAAAGAGGCTATCAACAGAGTCGTAAAACAACTGTGCATGCATGCCTCTTCTATCCTTCCTTCTTGGCATGTGTCACAGTCATTAGCGGCCACAACAAACACATACTACCTCACGGTCTGCCTAGCTTTCATGTAGTTAAACCAAGGAGCTCATTATGTACTGATTTATGCAGAAATATGTAATTGTGTTTACTATTTTTAGCAGAGATTACTCACCTGAGAGACCCACACGAAGACCAACCTGTTTCATGAATATTTATTTAGTAAATTAAATGTGCTACCCCCTCCCCCAGTTAAGTAAATATGGGGCTTATTATCGTGGTAGCATGTAAGCAGTGATGAAGGGCTACTAAGATATTCACATGCAGATAATAAGTACAAAAGAGAGGCTTGAAAGATATTTGCTGCCTCATATGGCCTTTTTTCACTGATTCTCTGTCTTTACTGATATTTACAACCAAAGTGATTGTGTGGCATGCCAGGTAACACTGGCCTGTTTTAACCTGCCCATTGCCAGACTATCACACTCCCGAGGTCATTTACAGGGGATTGCCGTTTCAACCTATCTTCTGATTGTGCTTATATTCTTTATTTTGTTTCGTTCTGCAAAAATGTTTAACTTCCTCCTCACAACCCCTTCTTCACTTCTTGCTGTGACTCCAGGTTGTCGGACCACCAGGTACCGGAAAGACAGATGTTGCCGTTCAGATCATCTCAAACCTCTATCACAACTTTCCTGAGCAGAGGACGCTCATAGTCACACACTCTAACCAGGTCAGCACACACACACTGCCTCTCTACACACAAACCAGGTCTCATCTTTGAAAAGTTTCCCTAGAACACTGTTCAAATAGCAGTGAAGCTGTCTAGAGAATTTACAGCTTGTGCTCAGAACTGCCCACTAATCAGGCGATAGTCATTTTCAAACCTTGGAGGAAAAATTAAAATCTGAGCTCCCTCGTGTCACGATCTTCCACCCTTCAGTATTTAATCATAAAGTAATCTGCTGTTGTTTTGCACCAGTGGAAGCTTGCCAGAAGGACCGTTATACATAAAAAGCAGAGCTTGATAGTAACTATTCCCCTGTAACCGTCCCACTCTTGTCATTTATTTTCTTTACAGAAGCTTACCTTATAGCTTGTTAAATATGTATTTAACTTAAATATAATACACATCAAATACACACACAGTATCAGAGAGAAGACTGTCCATGTATGACCATGTTTACATGTTTTCCCGATTCATTCGACACCAGGCTCTGAACCAACTGTTTGAAAAGATCATGGCTCTAGACATTGACGAACGCCACCTTCTGCGTCTGGGCCATGGAGAGGAGGAGCTGGAGACTGAGAAGGACTTCAGCAGGTGAGGACAGCAGACAGGTGGAAAGAGGACACGCAGACATACAGCGGTGCACCTAAAAGAAACAAGCACATGTGAAAACTGAGACAACATGAATTCACACATGTGAAAGTGCATTCAACAAATAAGCAGACTTTCAGTGCATCTGCATTGCAGAGGTAGCTGACAACACTCACACATACATGAAAGCAGCTGCCCACATGCATAATTAGTCTGAGCCAACACAATGACAGGGCTACTCGATACTCTCATATGCCAGGCCATGGACCTGGTTTATCTTCATTAGGCATCGTTGGACTCTCAGACCTTTCCGCCAGTGTAAGGGATCTGTCCCTGCAGCCCTGCACTCAGAGGCAATGCATGCCTTATTAACCCATTCATTGCTATTCTGGACTACAAGAACTTATAGAGATTTTCCACAGGCATGGAAAACCTGAAATCTGCACATTTTCTGAAGAACTTTGAAATGAAATTGATAATCAGAAGTTTTGGAAATATATTTTAGTGTAAAATATTAATCCAAATCATCTGTGTTCTTAACCTAGTAACTGCAGTAATGTTGTCGTTTTCCTATTTCTGAGATACACAAAGTATTTTAATGAATAATCCATTTACAGTAATGTGATGAAATAATTAATTCATGAATAAATACATAATTACATTAAAAAAAAAAACAACAACATTTCAGTTTTCTAAAACCATTAGGATGTTTATTTAGCTCAGGTCAGGAAGGAGCCTCTATTTATTCAGTGGTGGGTGGATGTTACCTGAGTACAATCTTTAAAAAAATCTGCACATTGTTTTTAAACAGCTTGTTTAAGAACTTTCTTTTGGGACACATGCAGTGCAGCTATTCTTCATATTGAACTGGTGGCAAAGCACAGAACAAGTGACCAAAACAAAAAAAAAAACACTAGAGTCCTGTTTAAGACGCTCTAATAGTTACCAGCTTTCTTATCCACTTTGCATGCGTGTGTGTAGGTGTGTGCGCGTGTGCGTGTTGGCGTGTGCGTGTGTGTGTGTGTGTGTGTGTGTGTGTGTGTGAGTGTGAGTGTGATGCCTTGAAGGATTGTGACTCAGTCCTTACTACTGAGACATAGTGAGATGAGAAAAGAGAAGGTGGGGGCCAGTGCATTTTAAACACCCAGACAGACGTGAGGAAGACAGATTATCTCAGGATACCCAAAACATTTACAGTTTTACATGACATCTGCTGTATTTAACACCACTATTGACTCAATCAGCTAGAACCATCTTTCTTTTTTTTTTTATTACTAGCAAAGCTTTTTTGCCAGCTCCTGAATATAAATAGCTAATTGTCACTGAATATTAATAAACGTTTTATGCTGTTGCTATTTTAAGTTTCCTTATAATCTGCATTGTCAATTACCACCTTACCCATGCCTGCCACTGAGAAAATTGCACCCTATAGCTCTTTGCATCATTTCCAAAGGAGGAAAGGAAGGGCTGTGCATGTCTCTCATTTGCTGTAGCCTTTGTATGACTGCTCCTCAGTGTGAGTGCATGACTTTAGTATGAATGCAGTTGTATGAAAACTGGTGTCTACACATGAAAGCAGTCTCTTATATTCTTAAATTATGCAGCAATACTGACATAAAAGAGGGAGCTTTAGCTAGCAGCATTTAATATGTTCCCGCCTGCCTGGCTGCCTCATAACAACATGCAGACTCCACACTTCTTCCACCCCACTGACACCAGCGAGAGGAGAGAGCTGGAGAGTTTTAATTAACACTGTATACTAGATAAAAAATGGACGGCAGAGCTTCTCTGAATGCCTAACAAAGAGGAAGCTACAGCATCAATTAGCAATGCCCTCTTGCATTTCATGATGAATTTTGTGGTGTTTTAATGAGATTTTGAAAGTGGATTTTGGTAGCAGAATACAGGAAGCCATATGTCATTGTGGCTAGTTCATATTTGTATTCTAGGTTGCTGATTTAAGGTGCTGCTGTTTTGTGCAAGTTTTACATGCATTAGATCTCCCACAAAACATAACAGTCTTGTCGATAAATACCGACTGCTGCTCGCACCTGTGTGCCTATTTTCGGTTTTCAGTCTCAGACAGTGACTGAGTGTGTTACAACTGTGTCATCCTGAAAAGCAAGGTCACTTCTCATTTTTATTTAATTTTATTCAGCCCAAAAAGGCAAAGCAGTGTGATTGTCTTTGAGTCATCTGCTGACTGAGAATCTTTGGAGAGTCTAAAAATAGTGCTCACCTCTAGTATTACCCTGTGACTCCTCCTACTTCCTGCCTTTGTGTGTCTTCACATTGCCATCTGATAATTGCTTTTTTAGCAATATTGTGTAGCTGCACAATGAGAATCATGATAGAAATTAGACAAAATAATCATGTGCACAGTCAAGAGCAGCCGTTATCCTCCTTAGCCGTACAGTGAGTCATATTAACAATGCCTTTTGCATAATTTACTCTGAATTACTGTATGTCCTCGGATGACCAGCACAAAGCAACCAACGTTCAACACAGTCAAGTCAATAATAACAAACCAACCATGTCTCACGTTATAGGTAATTGTCTGAAGCTTCTGTTTGGGCTGGTCCCCAGCATGTAGGGCAATGTGGGTAATAACACCGAATAATGAGATGTGGAGTGTAGGTCATGACACCAATTGTATTGCTGTAAAGTTGATACTGGATTGTAGTAGCAGACAGGAGACAATCTGATCATTCCACATAGCAGAAGATTAATGATGCATTAAAGAGTGAAAGCAGACAGTCAACGTGCTTTCAAATCAATTCCACCACAATCGGATTATGTGTCTATGCTAAAATAAAATGCTAGTTCAGTTCCACGCATCAACAGATTGTATGTCCTCCCTCATTCAGTTTAGGTATGGACATAAGTAGACATTTCTAGTGTCAGCCCTAAAATGTTGCATTTATTACATTTATGTCATATTTGTGTCACTACTTGTGACAAACCATTGTAACTGCCTGTTTATCCTTGTACAATAAGGTTAACGGTATAGAGGCTGTTTACTGACTATACTGTGCCGTCCCCAGATATGGCAGGGTGAACTATGTCCTAGCCAGAAGACTGGAGCTCCTCAGAGAGGTGGGAAGGTTACAGGAGAGCTTGGATGTCCCTGGAGATGTGTCTTACACCTGTGAGACTGCTGGACACTTTTACCTATACCAGGTAAGACATATCTAAGTGTGATTGTTGTTTTTGTGATGTGCAGAGAAAAAATGCAGTACATGCATACAGGTTTTAGAAAACCTTTCAAAAGTCAGATGTTACACTCTTTTGGTTTGTTTTTTTTTGACGTTATTAAACTACATCGCTCAGTCCTTCTTTAAAGCATCTAAACATCCTTGAAATAAGTGTTTAGATTTTGAAATTGATTTACAGACACGGCGAGAGTTAAAGGGATCCAGGAGATATTTTTCAGAATTAATTAGAATGGATTTTTGTAACGTCTGTCCTGTCCAGACATTATTGAAGTTTCCATTCCCCAGTCTCACTGCTCTTTTTGTCTAGACTGCAAATATTTAGAAACATTCACAACCCTTGCTGTTTACTCCTGTTACCTCATTACTGCAGCCCCCTCAGTCTGCAGGAGAAATGCCACTACAGATAATTACTTGCAACCCCATGCTTCACTGGTCTGACTCACCAGATGAAGATTGTGGGTATAAGCCTGCCATTGGTCACGTATCTCATGTGGCATTCTCCTTCCCTTTCGCTATCTGCATGTTACCATCATCAAAATCCCCTTCACTGTGGGAAGTTAGAAACATAGCACTACAAATGGCACATTTTCACAAATACTTGAATCGCAATAAGATAGACCTGTTTGGTTCTTTTGGTGACTGTTTGTAGAGATCTACATAAGTTAATCTTTTTTCTGTCTCACGGGGGGATTATTGCAAGTTTGCCCTGAGGTTATGGAAAAAGTTTAATTATCCAAGCATGTTCCCCCCAAAACAAGCTGTCCGCCTGACATATAACAGGGGCACCACTGCTGCATCCTGGGCTTTCTGCCACTGAAATTAATTTGGATTGGTTTAAAGAAATACGAACAAGCCTGAACATTTTTTTCCACTGTAGCAGAATAATATTAATAGGAGCAGCCGGACTGTTCTCCAGCACTGACAGTGCTATGGAGACGAGTCTGTCTATTCAAGATTAGTGTTTTACAAGAAGGGTTCTTAAATAGACATTTGCACCATATAGAAGTGTGGGGTGTCCTCTTTAGTGGAAGGTCAAGTAATAGTTTTTTGTGGAACGACGCTGCTGTCACTTGAGTGTTACATCAAAAACAATTATGTGAGACATTTATAAACAGTGTAAAGATGCCACAGCATGGTCCTGCATGAGATCATACTTGAGATCAAATCCTATAGCGGATAATTATCTGATGAGTTAACAAAAAAAAAAAAAAACTTGAATACTATATTCACTACTCCAGCTCTAATGTCAGTAGTGTATATTTGATGCTATTCATCTTGCCATTCTTGCACTTTGCCAGAAGTCTGTCAATTGTTTCTCACATACCACCGTGGTTCCATTTTAATTTGATGCTTTACAGAGATTGGATTCACAACCCACGCTTAATTTTAGCTGAGTTCATATGGTTATAATAGCTCTGAAAACCAGCCGACAGTATAGTTCTGAGACATTTGAAGATGCTGTGTGGAGATTGTTGCCATGGTGAAGCCTTGACCATTGGCAGACAACTTTGTGATAACTAGTTTATGTGTACATACACCTAAGGTTTCCATGGTGGTCTTAATAGTCCGTACAGAGAGATACTTAACATGCAATTAAGCTGAGTCCTCTAGCAGACTCATTAATGCTATCCTTAAAGTTGTTTTTCACGAGGGTATTTATAGAACTAGGCTACCCTGCTGTTTGGTTGAAGCTGGTTTATTAGGTGCTCAGCAGGGGCACCTCCGTAAGAGTGAGGCTTTCTGTTCTCATTTGTTTCATTTCTGTGTAATGTGTTTTTTGCCTTAGTCAAATTATTATAGAAAAAATACAGAATGGACCATTTAGGCTGGGTAGGGCCATGCAGAACTCTTTGCTCTACTTTGAGGGCCTGTTTGTACAGTGTGATGATACAAAAACACTAATGTGTGCAAGTAAAACACAGATTTTAGGGATACTGAGCGACTGTTCCTTCTCACTACAGGTGATATCTCGCTGGGAAGAGTACATGAGCAAAGTCAGGCCTAAACAGGGCAAGAAAATGGACGCGGGGGTGGTTGCTGCACACTTTCCCTTCCACAAGTACTTCTCCAACGCTCCCCAGCCTGTGTTCAAGGGCCGGTCGTATGAAGAGGACATGGACATTGCGGAGGGCTGCTATCGTCACATCAAGAAAATATTTACTCAGCTGGAGGTAAGAGGGTCACACACATACAGAGTGCACTAGTTTCCTCACTGCTGAGCAACACCCAGTGGGATGTAAAGAGGTTACTTCAGTGCAATAAGGCAAGGTAATTTTAGAGCACATGTCATTACATGTAAAGCCAGTGTGTTTTGCAGTACAAAGCACACATCACCAAGTAATAGACAGTTTGCACATATTCACAAACTCAAATTAGAGGTAAACATACAGCCCTTCTCTCTTTTTGTTCAAACACACACAGAAGCTCTGCCAGCTGTATTTGACCTTTTTCTCAACCTATTCGCCAGCTGTGTGTACAGGTGTTGCACAATTTCTCATGCACAAGTAACTGCCTTCCTGGCCACCATGCTAACAGGCTGCTCTAGATTAACAGTGACTGGTCAGACACTCACCGCTTCTGTGTGGATATGTTTGCATTCTTGTTTGTGCTTTAGCCATCACCTGCCTCTTTGCTTCAGCTTCTTTGGTTAATAGTGAATCGTGTACCAGTATTTCATAAGATACTGTCTATAGATGTGCTTGTTAGCTCGTTAAAAAAAACAAAAAACAATAGTAATAATAATTATCAAAGCGCTTATTTTTTCACTATTTAGTTTTCTCTTGAACTCTTTTCCACACTTGTTCACATTCACAAACTCACAGCTGAAGACGTCTGATCATTCCTCCTCACCCCGTTGACTATTTCTATAGGGATAACAAAAACATTTCAGATTTATGGGAACACCAAGAAGGTCTCTGAAAAGCAATAAAGAAGTTATTGGCTTGAGGTAATATCCCAACACGTGTGGTGACCTTGATTTATCTGGCTGGCCTCTGTATCACTGCATCACAGCACCTCTCCCTCCTCCCACAGCCTCACCCATGCTGCAGTGAAATCTGTACACCCATTAAGAGGTACTGCTGTATGTGGTGCAGGGTAGCAAAGGCAGTGTTCTGCTGAATTTGCTTATCTGTCTGCCTTTTCAAATGTTAAAGCAGTTTTGAATAAGCTGTCATAGGAATATCCTATTGCTATTTATTGCTAGACAGAAAGACAGAGACACAATGTGCCTCTTGGGTTCCTGTATAGACGTCTCCTGTTTACTCCTCTGCAGTCCCACCATATATTAACCGCTTTTTACTATGTTTTTCTCTCTCTCTCTCTCTCTCTATCTTCTCGTCTCAGTGTCTGTAAATCCTTACCATCTTGATTTCACACTTCAACCACTCTGGAGCCATGGGGGTTAAAAATAGACCTCATTAATACTGCATGTTTTGATTGGTTTAATATTAATGCCAAAATAGTAACACATCAAATATTTATACCCCAGTACTGTCCGAGTCTGCTTCTCGCTTCCTCCCTCCATCCCGCCCCGGCTTCCTGCACCCACACAGCTAGTGTGGCAACCTGAAAATAGCATGCCTGTTTACCCATATTTCCCCCTCTGCGCTGCCCCCCAGCTTTTTTTTTATTTTTATCTATTTGTAGTGCCATGATATTGGCACTCTGAAGCGAACTGATTTGTGTTTTGGGCAAAAAGTGTCCCCGAATTTCTCATTGAAGTATAGGCTATGTAAGAAAATCTGTGCTAAAGTGCTCCTCAAGCTGCAGTTATTGAACACCAAACTGCACCCGGTATGCTCTCGACAGAGGAGCCCTGCGACTGGCTGGTCTCTTTATCACTGCATCGCGGGAAAAGAGAAGGCTCACTCATAATGAGAGCAGAAAGCAGAGGCATTCTGTTGATACTTTTCATTAAAAATCAGGGTACTGCAAGATGTTGGTCACATGACAGTGCTGAAGTTCGTCTCCCGGGTAGCTTCAGCAATCAAAAACAGTGTGTTGAAGATGTTACAGTGTGTGGTCTGAAGATAAGACGCCAGATTTTTAATAATGTAATGGCTGTATTTGTAAATTCTAAAGTAAGCCTTTTTTGGATTTTTTATTTTTTAATGACTTCACCTTAATCATATTTTCCATCCTCTTTCATCTTTTTTTTTTCATTAAAGTTTCCTCTCACAATACTAGTGTGCAAAAAAACTAAAAATAAACAGAATCATTAATAGCTGATTGCTATCTTAGTGATAACTTTCTTCTTCATGATGCTGTTTTGTATTCCCAATTCATGCCTTTAAAAAAAAAATCAATGAATAAATAAATAAAAATACTGCTATAAACAGTGATTCAACTCCTGACCCTCATCTTCTCTCTCGTCTACCCCTGAAGGAGTTTAGGGCCTTTGAGCTGCTGAGGAGTGGGCTGGACCGCTCCAAGTATCTGCTGGTGAAAGAAGCAAAAATCATTGCCATGACCTGCACACATGCTGCACTCAAACGTCACGACCTGGTGGAGCTAGGATTTAAGGTAGGCTTTTCTCACCTAAGACACAGACTTGACTACCTGGTTGTATTCACTGCAGTTATTATAAATGTTTATATTAAATTGCTGGTTCTCTTTATTAGTACGACAACATCTTGATGGAAGAAGCTGCACAGATTCTGGAGATCGAGACCTTCATTCCTCTGCTGTTACAGGTAACCCTCTCCTGACTTTAACCCTGACTTATTATGTTTAGGCTAATCCTGACCTAAAAATTATTGCTGAAAATGTGCACTTGAGAAAACAGCCCTGAAAAAACACTGTCAAGGTCCCACATCAAGTCTAGTTTAATCATTACCTCAGTGCTCTTAGCAGCCTCCCACCACCTGATTTTCCCTGTTAAGGTTTTACTGATGGACTCAATACATAGTAATGGTGTTTGTCTTTGGTAGTTGCGCCTAATTGTCTGAGATAGTGCTAATTTCTGTGTACAGATGAGATCATTAAGCTCTATCCAGAGCTCCTGTCTTTATCTCTTTTCACCAGTGAGCTACAGTCAGAGCCTTTTGCCAGGTGCCTCGCCCTCCCCTTCCCCTTCACTATCCAGCCATTCAACCCTCACCAGGGATTTCAGTGATTAAATCAGCTCTAGACTTACAACGATTGGAATATCAAATTTGAGGGAGGTCAAGCTCCGAATAAACCACATCTAATTAGTAGAATTTTGGAGTATGACGTTGATATGAATAAAACACTGTAGTGGCTCTTCATGCTTCCTTGCTGGACTTTAATCCTATTTTACGCTCAAGATTCAATTTGACATACACTGTATCATATTGGCTTGTCATTAAGCAAATCAAAATAGATTAAAGTTACACAAGATAAGATAGTTGTCATACACTGGGGTTACAAATGTTTACATGTCAGATGTGGATTCACAGCTAATACAGCTACTATTACAGAAAAGTACAGCTCAGCTGACTTTAAACATGTACTGCACAAAATATATTTGCACATCAGCATTTCTGTAATAGGTGTTCTAACCACTTATTCTTTCTGTCTTTCTGTCTGCGTAGAACCCAGAGGATGGCTACAGCAGGCTGAAACGCTGGATCATGATTGGAGACCACCATCAGTTGCCTCCAGTCATCAAGAACATGGCCTTTCAGAAGTACTCCAACATGGAGCAGTCTCTCTTCACCCGATTTGTGCGCCTCGGGGTTCCCACCATCGACCTGGATGCACAGGGACGTGCTCGTGCAAGGTGGGTGATCACACTGCTAGTCTGTTTTGACTGACTTGATTTTATGAGTTGTTGTTGTTTCAACAGTGTAACCTAATGTGTTTCTGTCAAACAGCCTGTGTAACCTCTACAACTGGCGCTACAAACACCTTGGGAACCTGCCTCATGTCCAGCAACTCCCTGAGTTCCAGGTGCCAAACCCTGGCCTGACCTTTGACTTCCAGCTCGTTAATGTGGAGGACTTCAATGGGGTGGGAGAATCTGAGCCCAACCCTTACTTTTACCAGGTCGGTAGCACAACACGCCAGTACACAAATACACACAGTCAAATCAGCATTTGTACAAATATTGTCTCGTAACAACATTTTGCATTTCTCTGCCTACCAGTAGTGTTGCATATTCAAACTTCCCTTTATATTTACAAAATCCATGACAAAGTGAGAATAAAAAGATAGAAATAAAAATGAGATAAAAATGATTAACATAAAAAAACTTCCTGAAAATGAATTGGAAGTGAATACTATGGTTAAAATGCTTACAGCTGTAAATACCCAGCTGCTTACACCATGAGTCCACACAGATGGGATTTTTCAATTTGGATAAACATGTATACGGAGTACATGGCACCAGTATTTAGTAAATCTGTAGGACAGTTACAGTGTCAAACTGTCAAGGAAAGTATGTTTTTTTTAGGCAAAATTATTAAAGCCAAGGTTGCAAAAACTACCATACCCTCATAAAATTGACCTTCCATTCTAAGCGGTGAGCTGACCAAAATCAAAAGACATCGAAACCAGACTTGGCAAAAGCTGTAGAAAGTTTAATTTCATATGGTACACATGCAGACTGCACAGAACTGTATTGCATAGTTGTTGCCCACGCAAGAAGCTACTGCTGGAACCAAGGCACAAGAGAGCTCGTTTTCAAAGACTCACATTCATAATTTTTTTTAGGTTTATGCTCTGGTCTGATGAGAATAAAAAACAAATCTTTATGGATGTGATAGTGCCAAATTTGCATGGTGGCACAACTAACAGGCCTGTGGTTAACTCTGTCTGGAGGATCTGGAGTAATATTAGCATTGTGCTCTAAGTGACAAGTTAGTCTGGTAGGGACGCAACCTGCAAAAACTGAACAAGTAGCATAGGCCATTGCCACAAATTAGGAAATTAGCTACCGTCACAGTGGCTAAGGCTATGCTAACGGCTAAAGGCTTGGTTATGCTAGCGACTAAGTTAGGAAGCTAAATCAGTCCCTGGAAAACAGGACAAAGAATACTTCAAGTTACGAGATTAGTGGCAATAAACACAGTGAAAAATGTTTTTTTTTTAAAAAAGAAATAGCAGACATAGCCACAGGAGAGAGAAAAGACAGTTATCAATCTCACAGTAAAGAAAGAAGAGTATAGAAAAGTTACCCCTTCTACTGGTACTGTACATATTCAACTACAGTAGTCCTTAATACCAGGTTCCCTGCTATAATGTGATGTTAATGAATATACAACATTTCATGTATGTTAGTTCCAAATATTGGTATAACAGTGTCCTTGATTTCTAATGATCAGGGAAAGAAAAAAAGATCAGCTCCCAGAAAAGATGCTACCTTCGCTCTACACACTGGGTCGTCAAGCACATTTTTAGCACGATCATGAACAAAAACATCCTTCATAGGCCTCTGTTGCATTTTTCACAAAGAGCAAGGTGAAAGTGTTGGCGTGGCAAAGTATGTCACCAGACCTCAACCCTATCAACCACCTGGGGGGACTTGGAAGAGAAAAGTTGCTCAGCACTCCCCACCAAACCTCGGGGCATTCACAGAGGTCATCCTCCAAGAGTGGAACCGGATAGATGTGACAGTGTGCTGTGAACTTGTACACTCGAGGCCAAAAAGAATTAGTGCGGTACTTGAAAGCAATGGTGGACATGCTAAATATCAGATAATGTCTCATTTGCTAAGTGTAACTGATTTTGCTTAATTGGATTTAAACAATCGTTGCTTATTTATGCAATTTAGTTAACATCTTTCTGTGTTAAGTATGTTTTTAATAAATTCCCATTTTGTTGTCTCTTGATGTGTTAGTTTCAGGGTTTAGCAGTGAAAAAACATCTTTATGTTCACAAAGGACAGACTTGTTGGACACTAAAAACAATGTTAGAACAGCTGCAATGGTTCATGTTTCACAACGTGTGGCACCTTCCGAACAGGATTTATACACTTCTTCGCACAGATACACACTCGTGCACACTTAGTTCCACCAGAGCAGAGAACCATATCCCTTCCTTGGCTCCATTTCCTCTAAATTGGCTGTTGTACAGTTGTTCATTCATTTTTAAATTTTAATGGTTTAGCTACCAGTCCATATGATATATTCATCACTCTGCTTAGTCGGCAGCTAACCATGGCTGCCCAACACAGACCAGTGGGTTTGTCCTTCAAACCAGGAGCCAGATTGTGTTTCATCATGACACTGCTGAGACACCAAGACTTTGTGTGGGCGGGGGGCCAGGTTGATAGAGGTGTTTACTTTGGCACCACACCAGCTCCAAATGTAGTGTGAAATATAACAGCAAAATGATCTGTCGGTAGATTTGACTTTTAAATAAAATATTGAAAGATTTGGAACGTAGATATAAACCAGGAACCTTAATGGGAAACCATGTTTTTTTTTCATTTGTCAAGAAATTTAAAACTAAAATAGCTACAAGACAGCTTTTGCTATAAATGCAATATTTCCTTTAAAACTATGGAGTTTAGTCATAATTAGAGAACCAGCAGTACTTGATGTCAGTTAAAAGGTATCTTGTGTAATGATTAAATATGAAAAGGAAGTTTACGTTTATACCCTGAATACCCAATGAGCATATCACATTGCTTCTTGAATGTTGCTGCTGCATTCAGCGCTGTGCACGCGCATGTCCCTGAAGCTTCTTATTGTTCTTAAATCTAGACCATGTGCGCCTCTCGAGGCTCCGGGTCACATGAACCTCGACTCCATTTGCCCGTTTTGCCATTTTCAAGCTCCTCAAGCAAATTGCCAGCATCACTCGATATGCCTGACACACAAACGCACACATACGCACACACACGCACACACATGCACTTTCCTCGGAACCAGAGGGGATAAATTTGACACTAGAGAAGCAATTGTATCCAGTGCATGCTAAATGCATGTCACAGCTGAACAAACACTGCCACAACCAGAGCTTTGCACTTAGACCGGAACTGTGCACAAATCATGCACAGAACGTGTGTGTGTGTGTGTCTGTGTGTCTGTGTGTCTGTGTGTGTGTGCACGCGAGCACACAGACAATCTATAGTGCGAAGGGATGTTCCTGCTCCTTTGCCTCATTTACTAAAGCACTTTCCATATTGAGGCTCAGCCAACTGATAGCACTTCAGGGTTGTCAAATGGCTCATGAGAAGTCAGATGCTTATCTAAATCCACATCTTCTGTTGTTTAAAAATTGCCTCTCTCAGCCACTAGACTTGTTACGCTAGACTTTTCTGCCTCACAAGCTAAACCTTAAATTGTATAAGAGCCACTGGCATTGGAGTTTACTTGCAGGGAGTTTAGATTTATACCTGTTATTACCTATAGGTATACTGTGCTTGTATCTACACTACAGTATGCAACTCTCTCACTTCTGCCCCTGTTTCATCCTGGCCATCCTCTCCAGCCCTGATGTAGCCTCAGGCCACTGGCTCAAACTTCAGTGGGTTAGATCTGACCTTGTTGTTATGGTTACCAACTTCTTTCGGGTGTTAGGGCATTAGCTCTTATTTATGTTAAACATGCGCATGAGGTAGCAACGCTGGAAATGTCAACTTAGATGTTTGTGTGTGTGTGTGTGTGTGTGTGTGTGTGAGAGAGACATGCATGATCTCTTTTTTTTTCTTTCTTTGCTGCTGAACTGCAGAGCAACCTAATTAGTATTTTTAACATATTCGGATTTTTGATTTTGGCCACCCAAAGTCACTTATACACCCCATAATTACCCTCTCGTGAGCAGGTAAGTCATGCATTGCTGAGAAGCAGGAAATGTTGAAACTAATGTGATTTTGCAGATAATCTTTAAATACAGCAGCTCACAGCTAAAATGTATTGTCTTACATTACATTTTCTTTGGAGATACATGGTATGGTTATTAAATATATGAATTTGTGCCATTTGGAGGCAGGTAATAGGGGAAGAACAACAAAGGCTGTCATTGTTTTTGATGTGTTGACTCCAGTGCAGCTGGAGCAGGAACTGTTGATGAAGCTGCATAAATTATTATCAAAGATGTGAGGCTGCAGTCCACATTTAATTGAAACTAGATGAATAATGCATACTGTTGCCTTTTTTCTTTTTAGTTTTTTTTTCCGGTCACATTTGAAGGGCAGAGTGTAGCCTTGGAGCCAGGATGCACTATTTGAGGAATTTGTTGATTGTAAAGTTGATGAATAACGCAGTGTTGGCCTTTACATTTTCTCACAATGAAAGGAAAACTCTGATGCACTCCCTGGGCTTTGACATTTGGAATTGGAAATGAGAGATGAAGAATCATTACAACGGCACATACAACGGGAGTGGTTGTAGCATTCAGTTCTGTCTGAGCTAATTAATTCCAGACAAAATTAGAAAACTTCTCATACATGACTGAATGGGCTTTTTTAACACTTGATAGGTAAGAAAGAGGCAAGAGTATAAAAAAGGGTTTAAAACAGAGCAGAAAGCCTTAGATGTACCATCAGGAAGAGAGACCTTTGGATTTGGGTTCTTCAGCCAAGTTCCCGTCCTCAGTAATGTCAGTAATGTTTTATTCACATTGACTCACAACAAAATTGTATTGTACGTCATTCTGAGATAATTTTAGAAGTACATAATTTACACAGTGTATCATGTAAACACAGTCCTCATCATCAGTTTTGTCCCCTTTAACAGAACTCTGGTTATAATGTTACTCTTAACATTTCCGTTTCTTTCTCTCTCCCTGTAAAGAACCTGGGGGAGGCAGAGTACTGTGTGGCTCTCTACATGTACATGCGTCTGTTGGGCTACCCCGCTGACCGCATCAGCATCCTCACCACCTACAACGGACAAAAACACCTGATCAGAGATGTCATCAACCAACGCTGTGCTGGAAATCCATTCTTCGGCCAGCCAAACAAGGTAAGCACCAATTGGAATAGACCACTTGACCAGTACTAACAACTGCATGCAATAGTTTGTTTTTATAAACCCATCTTTTCACGTAACATGTTATGAAGCTCAAACAATGGCAGAGAAAACAACACAGTATTCTTGGACATCATACATCTTGAATACTGTGATTAGCAGTCTTGCTAGTTTTCTGGTCTGTTATTATGTGTAATCTTTGTACAGTAAATTTTGAGGTATTTTTTTTAATGAAGAGAGCCCTTGATGCCACTCCAAAAATGTACTGAGTAGCATTATAACACCGAAGCACACCCAGTTCCACATGTAGTGTCACTTATAGGTGACACCTCTCTTCTCTCCTGTCAAGAAGAAAGCCATGACATGTTTTCACCTCACATACATGTGTGGTACTCATCCTAGTTTAGCGGGAACATACGCAACACACATGACATGAAGGGTTTCTTCACACCTCCAGATATCAGTTGCAGCCAGTGCACCAACTCCTCATCCTCCGTTGCAGTAAGAAATTCACAGCTCTCTATTCTCAGAAGGCTCTTGGTGTTTCTGCTTCCCATTAACACAAATACACACACCCTTTTTTTTTTTGTTTCTTTGTGCAGTTTAAGTAGATTTGTACTTTTTACCTACAAATTGTCTCAACTGCTTTTTTTTTTTTTTTCCCCTCGCAGTGTAACATACAGCGATATTGGAATTTAAAGTGAATCAATGACTGCTGTAAGGTGGAAGATGGAGTGGTTTGGGGAGAGTCAGGATTCGCTTTACAGAGTCGCAGGCAATGCAAAAAAAAAGAGAGAGGGAAAAAAAAGTAGTTTGTAACCATGGCCTCATTGTGCAGCTCCATCAAATCATGAGGCTGTTAAGATTGTTACAGGTCATAAGACCGAATGGAGCAGGGCACTTTTTACATACCAGCCAACTGCATACCTCTGTAAATCAAACTCACTGAGGTGTGTGAGAGAGAGAAAGAGAGAGAGTGTGTGTGTGTGAGAGAGAGAGAAAAAGCATTTTAAACGAGTGCGGATGTAGGCAATGTGTAAATTCTGTGTTCTGCTCGTCCCTGAAGAATACTGTTGGGTTGTCTTCATCTAGCCCACGTTATTCCCCCGAACTCCCTTTGCCTCTTTTTCAGAGCCCCTTTTCTTTCCTTTCTCTTCACCGTGTAAAGTCAGCAACCCGCTGGCACAGTTTTCCATCCCTATTCTGTTTGTACTGCTAAATGCTTTTACTCGCTAGCCTCAGGTTATGCTTTCCCCTCTCTCTTCTTTTTCCCTACCCACATTCTCTCACCTTTCTGCCGTCTCTGTTGTTTGGGCTTTTCACGTACTTGACAATGTCGGACTATTTAGGCATTCCAGGGAAAGTTGCACAGTTGAAGTGAAAATTGCTTTTCGCCAGTTATTTGGAGTCATAGTAATGGAGGATCGGCATACCTTCAGTAATATGGGGGCCGGTTTAGACGTGTTGCATAGTCTTAGCTGTTTCTTGTCTCATGTCAATGCTAAAGCAAGATAGCCGTCCACACTGGCTGGTTTATGTTAATATGAAAGAGGAGAAATGGAGCACTGCACCAGCAGGGTGTCTCTTGATCTTGCCTCCCACATTAAGCCTAAATTCAGTTTCTTCATCTTTTAAATCATTCTAAATATCATAATGATTCACAATATCTCTTCTCTGTAGTACAAGTAATTCTATAGGTTTTTTTTTGTGGTCATGAAAAGACCAAAACCAAAAATGTGTTAGTTTTTTTCTCTCTCAGGACTTTGTAAACTTTAACAGCCTGTATATGACAGTCAGTCCCAAGCCTGTTTGCCACTACCAAAGAGTTAAAAAAAAAAAAAAAAAGGGTCACTAATATATAGAGGCCATTTTGTCCAGAAAGAAGCAGGGAGGAGGTGGATCCCTCAGAGTCATTAATGATAGCAGTTTGGAGTCTAAAGTAATGGTGTGTTCTACCACCTGCAGGGTCGGAGCGTTCACTGACTCCCTGTTGTTGTGTCTGTATTTTGTGCTGTGCAACCATACCTTGTTGCTTTGTCTTGAAGTATGTTTCCCGTTCTGACAGCTCGCCAGAAATTCTGCTTAGCCACGTAAAGTGTCTTGCAATGTTAAGACATAAAGCATCATTCATGCTCATGGCCTTAGTCAGTATGCATGCCCAGTAATAAAGTGACAGGAGTGACAGGCTGCTAGAGTTGCTGAGATGAAAGATAGCCAGAGAGGGAGAGAGATGAAAAAGAAAGAGGGGCTCTTGTGGGAAAATGCTGAGCAGCTGAAAGGTCACGGTGCTGAGCATTGGGTCCACAGCATGTCTGACAATGTGTCACAGTGGCTAAAACCAAGCAAATGTCAACAGCCAGCTTACTTTACTGCTATGACTTTAATTAGCCATAAAAGAGGAGGAAGGCCAATTAGCACCAGTCACAGTCCTAAAATTAAAATGCACTGGCTCAACCTTTCTGCTAAAAACACAACAGCTCACACACATACAGTATGCATGCACCTCTGCATTTTTGATGACGTTTGGTCCTAAGTTTACTCAGTAAATTTTAGCTTAATTTTAGACATGAGGATAGTGTTTATTTATCCAAGTCACAAACCAGAAGTCTGAACTTCAAAAAAGCCGTAATACAGTGAAACACAAACTTAGTTTACTGAAAGCAGGAGCTTCTTTAACAACACATAAGCTGTGTGTCCAGATACATGTAGGTAGGAAACAAGTCTCATCATTTTTCCACAGATCGTGAGAAATCTCAGAAATCGTGAGACAGGAAGCCAAAAGCAATGAGACATCAAACAGTTAACTCTGTCACCTTATAAAAAATGGAGTAATCTGGCAGTCTGACTTCTGCACATTCCAGGTGGTAATTGCCGTGAATAAGACATTACAAGATGGATAGAGTGAGTAGCAAAAAAAGAGAGAGTAGAGATCCATGGCTGACCATCAACTGAGAAGCTGTGTGCATTGTCTGAGGAGAACAGCAAGATGGGAAGAAAAAAAAGATTCTTAGTCAAATAGTTGTGTGTGTGTGTGTGTGGTTCACAATATATTCTGTGTCCTTGTGTGCTTCCTTGTATCCACAGACATGCATGTGCCACAATGACATGACCTCTGTAATGCTCTCCCTGGAAGATTTCTCATAAATAACTAAACACCATGCAAAATGCTACGCCTTGGGGAGATTGTTGATCTGGGCTTCGTTGTCACTGTCTGTGGGCTAAGAATAACTCCCTCTTTTAAGAAGCACTTTTCCGTAAAACAAGATTCCTTGTTTCATGTGTGTGAACACGTGCATGTATGCAGACCGTGGCTCTTTTGACTTGAACATTAAACATTTGACTTAAATATACAGTCCATGAAACCTCGTGCTATTGTTAAAACCAACATATTGTTGCCTCTAGTGCTGCACCTGTTCTACATGGCAACAGGGGGACGTAAATAAATACCTCATTAGCCCCTTCGCTCTTTCTTTTAAACATTCGCACGCACTCTTTCTACATTCCTTCCCTTTTGTCCAAAAGGGCCTTTGGAGAGGCTTGACGAAGAGAATTCCAGATTCACTGGAAGCTGCATTTGCCAGCAGGAGGTAACCACAACCACAGGATGATTTATTTAGCAGGGCTGATTCACATGTTGGTTGCTGTAGTCCTGGGCCTGTGTGGCTTCTCGATGGCAGCTGATGTCCTATCGATTTGCTCTAAAGCACGGATCTGTAGAGGACAGGCCAACCTCTTTCTGCTGGGCTTTGAGTTTTTTTAGCATATAGCCTGTATAATGCGCTGAGGACTTATAACTTGTTTTGTTTATGTGTCTTCTGTTTTCAGTAGCCTGGCCATGTGTAGATTGAACAGCGTTCCTTCTTGGTTGGTGTAATCATCGTCTAGTCGGGGAGACACTGATTCTGAAGTCTTGCTTTGTGTTGTGTAGTTATTTGTATCTTTCTTGAAACAATGTTATCAGGTTTTATCAGTTTAATTCAATTTTCAAACAGTGAGACTTTATAAATAATCTTAACAATCTATAGGTTTATTTTATGACCATCAGCTTTAATAATTTCAATACATTTGATCTTTTTCCATCATATACCTTGATGTCCATTAGAATATTAAGTTAAGTAATGCATTTTGGGGATCATAGCTACCTTCACTCCTTAAGATTTTAGGTGCACAGGCTTTTATCATTCACTTTCCATCAAAAAACGAGAAGTCATCACATACTTTTGTGAATAAACAAAATGAATGGGACTTTTACTCTGAGAACTGTGGGCATCCTAAGAAGTTACTCTAGTTTGAAAACTCTTTAAGAATCTTTTGAGAACATACTCCATCAGGACACTTTTAAACACTGCCATGGGACGGTTGCACATATGGACACAGACTGCAGATGCAGCCCGTTATTCACACAGTATAGATGCTATAGATATCACAGTATGGATGACAGGTTAAGTTTTAACAGGGTTGCATCTTATCAGTTTTCCTGTCCTTGTATCTAGTTTCAAGTGCATGTGCTTGATGTTGTCTTTATTATGTAAGGTGACATCACTGACAAAGTCAAAACACAGCTTCGTTCTTCATTTACGAGAATAAGTACACTTCTCAGCAAGACAGGATTACCAGGGTATAAAAGCAAATTGGCTGACACGAGTTTCCTTATGCTTTGAAAAAAATCCCACAGAGCGCCACTTCTTCTCCATTCTCTGCCTCCCTGAAATAATCTCTGATCCAGTCAAGCAGCTTGGCCCCCGGTACCCTGGCCCTGATTCTCAGGGGCCCAGGTAAGAGGCTAGTGGTGGCAAATGCCCTCTAAGCCGTATTAACCCTGCTGGCTGCCCATGTGGCCTGCAGCGATAACAGCAATAACAAGAAAACACAGGCATCGTCGCTCATCGCTCCCCCGCAAAAATAAATAAAGAAGAAAGAAAAGGAACTTAAGACGGAATGCAGTCTCACTCATGTTTTTAAACATTTCAGCTAAATCCCTCCACCTACCTAAAATGCCAAAACTCATTTACTTTGCAAAGTATATCAGCTGCCATAGCTTAGTTAGCATATCTTTGATATTGTTCTGTTGAATAATACATATGTTTGTGTCTGTGCAGGTTACAACAGTGGACAGGTTCCAGGGTCAGCAGAACGACTACATCATCCTCTCCCTGGTCCGCACCAAAGCTGTGGGACACCTAAGGTAATTACTTCAGCGCATGCCAAGCAGAAAAATGTACCTGATCCAAAATAGCCTTCAGCTCCCAGCAGCTATTCTCCTATAAAAATACTTGTGTAATAGCAACTATAGCTAAGATAAACATCCTCCAGGGAAACAACACAGCAGAAATGCCAGCACTAACTCTCTGGAGACGGCTGCTCTCAAGAGGCTTTCTCTTGTTGTCATGTGTAACTACTGAATGAAGTTTGCTGGAGAAAATAACTGTGTTAAAGTATGCGTGCAGGATAATGGTGCTTCAAGACAGTCCTGGTAAAGAGAAGCCATTGTGCTCTAATAATTGGGTTGAGAATAACAAAGAGCTCAGTTCAGATCAAAAGCAAACTATACAGCAGTCAGTAAAAGTCATGATGAGATCCAGTTTGTAGCAGCAAGTTTGATGTCTTTCACTGCATGTCCCATTGCTTTCCGCTCAACTATACTCCCTTGCTGCCCCCTCTTTTCAGTCTTCAGCTCCGTCTTCTAATCTATCTGCTCCCTCTTCTCTCGACGAACAGCCTTTCTCTCCTCAGCTGCCATGAGATCCAAATGAGCTCTGTACACTTCATACTCCACATGTTTTAATAGCAGACAGTTGAGGCTGGACTCATCCAAAGTACTTCTGCTTGCAATGCTGCCCGCTGGCTATAATGTGAAGTAGCTGCTGTTGGAATTGCACTGCTCACAGCTTTATCACAGCATTGGACAGTCTGGAAATTGGAACCCCAGTGCAAATAATAAGCCATTCCTTTTGTAGCTAAATACAAGGCTCCCCTCTGCACCCCGCCCTTCAGGGTGGTCATTTTAGCTCGCAGAGACAGCACTTAAAAACTCTGTTTTGTTGTTCCCTCATCTCACAGATAAAGTAGTGAATTGATGTAGCTGAGAATGCGAAACTGCAGCAGGCTACAGAGAGTGGTATTTTATCTTGCTGGCAGTGCCTGCTCTGCTCTCTATATCATTCATTTGATCTTATCTTACTCTGGATATTACACCCTGCCGTCTCAACACTCTCAGTGTTGGAGTTATTCAGGGCAACGACATACAGGAGCGTATATTCTCCCTGGACATTCCTCTACTAGTTTTAACTGAAAGACCATTAAAACCTACTTTTCAATCAGCTTCTTTCTATGAATAATGAGCTTCTACATGAGTATGGAGCCTTTTGGCACAGTTGGAACAGTTTTTTTTTTTCATGCGATTATTAGAATCCAAATTTGACAATTGTTGTGTGGTTGCTTGATTATCCAGCCAGACTACATCTAATCTGATCAGATGAATTTAATAATCCCATTTGTTTATAGCGTCGCTTAATATTCATTCATATCTTGGTGTCCTTAACACTTCTGAATGGTAAGCCGAGAGGCTGAAAGAGCAGTGGTTCGTGGGAAATTCTCGTGCTGTGCTGTCTGTTGTGTTTCTCCTTTACTGGGATCACTGTGGTGTACCACTGACTTTTACCTCACAATCCTCCTCCTCCGTTCTCCCCGTTCCTGCATCTCTCTTCATGGCAATGTGCTGCCGTGACAACCACAGGGGACGCAGCTGACCATATGATGAGCTGACCCTTACTTTGACAGGAGAAGCTTTCCTGCTGATACATACAGGCACGCTCACATGCAGGAGCACACACTTTGACAGGACAGCACAGATCCAGACACACTGTGACATGTACACACGCACACGCACACACACAGAAATGCCCTGTCATGTCACAGCACAGCCCAGGTGGGCGTCTCTCAGTCGCCATGTCCACAGGCTATCATGCTTTATGATTGGTTCATCTTTTCTACAGCTCTGTGCTCATTGGTGTAGGCTGCTGTAGTTTGTCTCTGTGGAAATATTAAGCTTTAAAGTTTCATTTTGTACCATTTTTGCCTAAAATGTACAGTAATTCTCATGAATTTATAGGGTGTTAACGTTCACTCGCTCACACTCTGTGCAGTGGTTCCCATAAGCCTTATTTTTTCTCTCTACATATTCATGAAACACATCATGCATATTGCAAGGATTAATCCTCTTAATCTCATGAAGTGCTCAGGTGGACGCCTTATTCCACATTTTTTGGCAGTATTTCAGTCCGTGTATTCTATGTGTAGATGTGTATTTTACATTTCCAGAGCTGCTTGAAGAAGCCAAAACTCTTCTTCCCTCTCAGATGCTCCATCTTTTTCCATGTTTTTTGGTTTCTCAATAAACTATTATACTTATATGTACCTTTACATCAGCTAAATGTTGATATTTTGTACAGTTCCTTCAGGTTATTAAAACAACTAACAGACACAATATGAAGATGTGTTACTTACTGAAATAGGTTCAAGGGTAGCCCTTTCCACTTTGTGACAAAGCACATTTTTGTGGGTTTTTAAAGCTGTACATCTGCCCTTCTTACCTCCTGTGTATTGTTTACAACAAGAATGTGTTCTATAAGCACGGTTTTCCTATCCAACAGAATGTTCCTTTCCTTTCGGCTTGCCATGTGTTTAGATTCAGTGCTTGCTGTGTATTGTTTATCAAACTTTTTGACTTACGTATAGATATATAGATGGATATAAAGACCTTCAGGGGCATTCCTGCACGCTGGAGCAGATAAACAACCACTCTGGCTAGTACAGCAAGCCAAGCAGGATTCCTCCATTCTCAGAGACATTACTCCTCCGGAGTTAAGCTCTTAATTCTACTGGATGGCAGGAAAAAGTAACCTATCCACCCTTTCCCGGACTCCCCCACCTCTTCCGTTCTTTGTCTGCTGTACTTATCCATGCCCTTTGCCTTCTTTCCCTTTATTTCTCTCTTAGCGTCTATATTTGTCCCACTCACCTAGTGCTGCTTATCCTTCACTAAACCTCGCTCCTCCTACACTACACTGCCTTTTTCCCTTTTCTCTTGGGTCTTTTCTTGATCCTCTCACTGTGATCCCTTTACTTCAGTTTTTGTTTTTGCCCCTACACAGTGTTTCTTCTCCTTTTAAAAATGTCACGCTTCTCTTCCCCCACCCCTTCACATCTCTTTGATTCCCCCCCAGATCAAACCAATTTTTGACTTTTTTTTCTTCTATCACTCCACAGGGATGTGAGGCGTCTGGTAGTAGCCATGTCAAGAGCCAGATTGGGTCTATACATCTTTGCACGTGTTTCACTGTTCCAGAACTGCTTCGAGCTGACTCCTGCCTTCAACCAGCTCACTGCCAGACCACTGCAGCTGCACATCAGACCACACGAGTACTACAGCCAGGAACAGCCTGTACGTGGACACACGCATAGACATGCTCCTCTCTTAAAGCACAATGGTCTCCTGCTCCATTAAATCCAGTTGATTATGATTCATCCAGGCACCAGTTTTGCTGATAAGAACTGGGCTTACTTTCCCATGTTTCCCATCAGTGTCCATTCTCATAACACTGATCTCCATCTCCAGCATCCCACCACATCATAGCTGCCACAGCCTCCTGACTCTGTCTCATCCTGCCTGCCTCTATATTCTGAATGGAATCTTCATTCCACTTGGTCCTCACTGGTCCCGTGTCTCAATGCAGCTTTACCCATAGGCCCAGGTCTGTTAACAGCATTCTGCAGGCGGCCATCTGCAAGCATGGGAAACACAGGCCTGGCTATAATTAACCCCTGAGGGTCAGAAGGCAAAACCACTCTCCCAAATCCCACCTGGCCAGCATGGGACGACTGTTGTCTGGTCACGGTGTCTCACTGACTGGCGTGTATGGCAACAGGGGTGTCTAAAATACCCCACAGCCTCTGACACTTCCTCTGACTCTAGAGTGCTCATCCCCATGGGGGACAGCTCTTTTGGGCACACACATGAGGCCCCTGCCTAGCTTGTCTATCTAGAGTCGGTAAACCCCTGTTGCTTTCACGCACATGCAGATTAAAAGTCAGATTTTGTCAGGCAACACCCGACCAGAGCTGTCATGGACTATTTAACAATGCTAATGCAGAAGCCTTTATGAAAACACTGCTGCTTAATGCTCCATGTGGATATATACATATTTATAGCAGTGTTAGCGTGTGGAATTGGAGAGACAGTAAAACGTGGTGTGTAGTTACATTCAGTCACTGGGAATAAAGTTAACGCCCCAATGCTTTTCCTCATCATTTTACTGCAGTGAAACCACACACAGATCGTACAGTAGTGAAGCTCTCAGGCTCGATCACTTTGACAAGATGCCCACGGGGCCTCTGTGAGCATCACCCCTGTATTTAGGAGGCAACAGCCAAGCAGATTAAATATTCTGATCGCCTCACTCTTCAGTTTAGGCTGTTGGACTCTGTCTGCATACTAATACTGTCAAATTACCAACTGTGCATCCTCAACTTCGTGTGATAGTATGTGAACAGTGATCGCTGGAGGGAGAAATTTGCTTTCAAATAACAAGCAGGTAGCAGCAGGCATGTGAATTGTAATTTCCATACACATTTTGCCTCCGATCAATATGTGACCAGGTGGTGCCTGAAAGAATGATTGCTAACAAGACACAGAATTCTTCATTATCATTCCTTTCACACTACATCCTAGTCTCAAAGCAATCTTGTTGTTATTCTTTTGTTTCCCCCCTTCAGAGAGATGCGTCTGGACAGCCAGACCAAATAGTGAAGAACATGCCAGAGATGGCCAACCTGGTGTACAACATGTACATGCACATGATGCAGACCTCCCAGAAGTACAGACAGGTAACAATCTACTACAACTATGATACCACATTGTCATTTCCTAATCTTAAATGTTTAATATTAAGTTTCCTAAAGTGTTGGCAGTTTTCACCATCTCTGTCTGGTCGCAAGTTTTAACCTTTAAGCTTTAATGCAGAACAGTAAGTAGGTCAGACGTAAGAACTGTTGTAGTTGTGCATGTGAAAAATTAACAGGCCATGAGCCAAGCGTAAGTGCCAAATGAAGCTGGAGTGTTGTTTTAACTGTACAGTCAGTGTCGCATAGTGTCTCTTGTGCTCACTAAAAAGAGGAGCATTAGTGACAGTAAGTAAAAAAATAAAAAAGCTTAAAAAGGGGAGAGAGACACTTTTACTCTACTACTATCTATACTATAATGCCCTCAACGAAGAATATGTTCCCAGAGAATACACCTAGATATCATTCACTCAGCCACAGTAATACGTAGATCTACCTTCAGCTAATGCAGTCTAATTCAAGAATCCTGCAGTAAATCGTACATCGTAAACTATATTAGTGCACTTTGGTTGAAACTGTTTTAGAGGTGTGTACTCACCTTTATGGCCATTTTAGAAACTGTAGTTTGTGATGTTGAATCACATTGTGTAATAGTGACAAGTGTTTCTATTATTTTGTCCACATCTATATCTATGAGGGTAGGTTGAGTAGCAGAAACAGCTTTGTCCTACACAATATAGTTAAATATCTTAAACTAAAGCCTTCAAAAATGATGGAATACCTCTTAAACAAAAACGGTGATAGAAGGGTGGATTGCAGGGCATAATTATTTAACTTAGTATTAATGTCAAAAATTAAGTAGAAACATTTTGCTCCATATTCTGACTATTTTCATTTCCTTTGGCTTCCCAGCAGCAACAAGAGAAACTGGCTCTGCCTCCACAGCAGACCAAGACAGATGCTGTGGTTGAGAAAGCACCCACTAGCTCTCAGGAACCACAGGAAGAAACCCCCATGAAGCAGGAAACCCCGGAAGGAGACGCAAGCTCAGAGCCAAACTCAGAGGACACCAGTGAGAAGGAAGGAAACCAAGATACAGTAGAGCACGCTAAGATGCCAGAGCATCCTGGCAGAGACAGCGACAGCGATGGGGACAGCGAGGAGGAACAAGAGCAGTAGAGCATCTAACATGGGACTACTATCGAGGGACCAAGTGGAATCCCATAAGAGAAATATTGAGTCAGTGATTCTAAATTAGTTTTCTACTGAAAGGAAATCCTGATATGTCATTTTTTCTAAAACAGTTGATTTTTTGTTATCATCAGTACTTTATTAAAAAAAACACATCCTTTCATTGTCTGTCGCATGTTTACTATATTCATAAACAGCCACCAGAGCTGATTATACTTCTAGTCTAATCTAGTCTATACATCTTTGTCACATGCACGCTCTAACAAATAGTATACAGTCAACACATTTAAGCCTTGTTTAGAATCTCTCTGTCATGATACTTCCATCCATTCATCTGCTTCCCTCTTCTGCATTAAGCACAACTCAAATCTGATTGGCTCAGCCTATACCAGCAACACAAGCCGCAACTAAGCTGCATTTGTAGGTCAGTCACTCCACCCAAGGGCCAGTGTGCATGCTGGGGGATTTCAACTTGCCCTCTGGATGTACACAGTCACTCAACCAGCAAGCCTTAAATCCTCTGCCATTCATAATTTTGTGTGAAATACCAACGGCACTGTGCGGTTTGTAGAGCGACAACAGCTGGATCGGTCTAAGGGTTGAGACTTTATGACTGAATTTAAAAAAAAACAATAGGAGGCTTAATATTTGTTTTCAAAATGGTCATTCGAAAGCTGAGTTCCAACCAGGACCTCACAATTTAAACATAAATTAAATTAATTAAAATTAAGAGGTTAACACAGTCCACAACCCTTGAGGCAAAAACACAGACTGGAAATTAATTCATTATCATGCACCAGAGGTTAGTTGTTGTTACATCATACCTTAGGCAGGCTGATAGAACAGGTCAGCTGCACAGCTGCTTGTGCTTGGGCCAGTACAAAGACCTGATGGAGAAGCATGTGTTGATGGATGTGGAGAGACACATTTTCTGCAGTCAGTCAAGTGTAGAGCCATGCAATGCCTTTCTCTTCTTCTTCTATCGTCTGAGTGCAGCGCACGCCAGGTCGAGGTTCACATGAGTATTTTGGAGTAGTAGGCTATGCTTTTCTGTCGGCTGAGGAAAGGATTAGATGGAGAGGTTAGATAAGAGAGATTATCTCTGTCAGCTGAGACTGCAACTTTGAATTACTGGCAAAAGTTTTGACAAAGAGCCAAGAAGACCATGACCAACATACTTTAGCACATAATTATAAACTATTGCATAATGTGTACTGTGTGAATGAACACTGCAAAAGGGTTAAATGTAACCATAAAACAGTGGGCCAAAAGTTCCACCATATCGCTAAGTAAGCCTCTAGAAACCCATGACAGCAAGCATACTGTTTCTTCAGTCACATGAATGTCTGTATTGTGTAACATCCTCCCTCTGTTCAGCCTCCCAGTTATCTTTCTGTCCTCTCACAGCTGGTCTCATGAGACATTTACTTGCCTGTGGTACCTTGTTGTGGTAAATTAGAGCTAACTAGTGGGAAGTGGCTACTGCTGGAACACATTGTCTCTGGAAGCTCAAGAAGGATCTGGGAGACTTGCTTCAAGCAAGAAGGAAACCAGGCGCTCACTTCCTCCAGAACCTTTTTCTCTGCTGAAGGTGAACATGTCTTTTATACTCACACGACAGGTATTCATTAGGTTAATTGCTACTTTGCAAAGCTCAGACTTCTAACCTTTGCTAAGGGTGGATATATCACAAAGACTAACAGCATGCAGTGAAACCATGTACGTGTTGTTTTGCTCTCTGTGGACAGACTTGTAAATGTCTTTGGTGCTGCTCATACAATTGTCTCCAACCTTTTTAACTATTTTCTAATCTAAGGAGATTTTTTTTCTTAAAAAGTAACACTGGCTATTTATTCAGAAAAGTGTTTGCAATAAATTTAGCATTGCAAATCGTAGAAGGTGTCGAGGAAGACTTTTAAGGAAGTAGGAAGAGTTGAAGGGTGTAACGAGAGCTGAGGGTGCAGCAGAAGCCAGAATCTGTTTGTCCTGGTTGTGTAAAGTCATTCTGCCCTTAAAATAATTGTGGTTTACAGGCTGATGTGTTTTTTTTTTTTTTCTTTCTTCTTTTTAATGTGAGGGTGTTTACCAAAAGCACGGGATCCACCATGAGACACGCTCGTGTTGAATGTGTAATTTATTGCCCAACCCTACGTGACAGAAGTGTCACAACAGGAAATTACACATTATATAGAGTCAAGACAGTAGTGCCTGCAGGGGAGGAGGATCTGACCATTGTGTCTTACAGCTAAAACAGGCTTAGGGAATCAGTCTGACAGCACACAACACTTTCACACTCATAAAGTCATCAGTTCTACAATCTCAACTTCAAGGCTGGGCCTCGGGGCAGATTTTTCTGGTGGATTTTATCACAAAAAAAGATTTACAGTCTTGCTGCTTTCTCTTAATATTGCACTGTGTGGAATAAATGAAGTTTCACCACAGCAAACGTCTCACATATTGTATGTTTGCCGCTATACTTTGCATAAATCTCCAGGCGGGAAAGATTCACACATTGCACAGTATACCAATTAGCAGTTTTTCATGACGAATAATATAACAGCCATTTTTTTAATGCTCAGAATAGCAGCATATTTTACTCCTGGCTGCGGTTTTTATCAGCGTTGACAGTAATGCCTATTACCAAAGTTATGCATGATCTCTGCTGATCTGCTATTAGTGGGTGACTAATGTGCCAGTGCCAGTCTTCAACACCATGTGAGTGGGCGGCCTGTTGTCCTCAACAGGCAGACGGGTCTGCTGGTTATTGCTTGAGGTTGCCAGCTTATCATGCCTTGTCAAGGCCACTGCCTAATCCTGACAAGTACATCCAGATCATCAACAGGGCACGTTTCAATCTGATAATCTCCCATCATCACTGAAGAAGCACTGCTGCTCACAGGAAACACTGATGCTATTGTAGTGACTGACACGCTATCATGTGTAATCTAAAGTGTTCTCCAGCCAGACTTCCAGCAATCTGTTGTACTTTTTTATCAATTGAACTATAGTGAAGGCATATTGCTTGGCAAAGCATGCAAATGTTCACTGTGAGTAAGTTATTCTAAACTTTGCCTTTTCCTTCCAGACTAGAATGGCCAATTGTGGGTCGTGTTTCTGGTGCCTCATATGGCTGGTGATCCTGCTGGTCTTTGGCTGGCCCCTCGGCATCACCTTAGGGGGTCTCTACGGCCTGATCAGCCCCCTCACCACCTGCCTCGGCCTGGACCGACTCTCTGATTTACTTCTGGAGGGAGCCAACCTGGGCCGCACTTGTGCCAATAACATGAGGCACAGCAAGCCTTTGTGCTGAGACCCATCCTGAGTGATCAGCACAACAGCCGGAAGCAAGATTTTTTGATTTTTAGAAAAGGCTTCACTTTGAGGAAGACTGTTATTGTCTATTTCATGCGGGGAAACCCCCGAGATGACTGGTGCTCAATAAATTAAGAAACTTTCTAACAACTTATATAAGAAAAAGGTCTGGAAGGTCAGGAAAATGGATTCCACTCCTACTGTTAACATGTAATTAACCGTGGATTTCCAATTTGTGTGGGTTTGTAAGGAAGAAAATAGGCTTTGTGTTCATGGTCTGTGTTTGCTGTTTAATTCACGATGACACTGCATGAAGAAGATAAGAACGGAAATGGCAATTTAACAATGAAAATGTTTAGACTTGTAAATGACTGTGTGGGAACTTCTAATGCGATTAAACACTGCTTTGAACTTGCCCTCTGTGTTTGTTGATTGACTTATTGTACACAATATTTGGTGGAAAATCCATGTTGTGAAATCTTAAAGTGAACGTAAATGAAAAGATAGAGAAAGCCGCAGATATGAACAGATGCATTTGAACTGTTTATTTACCTGCTTCTTTATATTTAGGCTCGCGGGGAATTGAAGCTCACCCCAAAAGAAGTCCTGCTCGTAATGTTGAGACAGGCTGCCAGGTCATGACACAGCAAAGTCAGATGGATGCCCAGTGGGTCAGATGGAGGCAACTTAAAGCTGCACAAACTGATTTACGTTTTGATCAAATTCACTTTTTGACGAGAACGGGAAGAAACTAAAGATGCAAAAGTTGAGTAAAATGGCAGATTTGGGTGACACCTTTTAGCGTGTTTCTGACAATGAGCAGCTCCTTTTATGTAAAACACAATGACGTGGTTTGCTATTAGTTAAAAAAATATATATGAGTGCAGTTGAAAGTCCACATTAATTGCAGATTCAGAGAGTGAAGCTAAACCCACACAGACAGCTGGTTTAGTTTAACTTCTGACTGAGGTTGAAAATTAAATCAGTTACGTTGAATCAGTGCAGATACTCACTTATTCATCCTTTGCACTACTCACCTTGTTTGCACTATTTCTTATATTTATATGTACATTTATTATTTTTTCCTGTCTCGTATATGTGTACCTCTGTTGAAAGCTGCTATCAACGATGTGAATTTCTCCACTGTGAGATAAATAAAGGCATATCTTATCTTATCTTATCTTATTTAGGTTTATTAACATTGCATTTCTGAATTTTGGGCATTTCATTTTTTTCCCTCCGTTATGTGTTTTTTGTAGAAAAACACTCTTTCTGGTCATTTCTCAGGCTACTCTCCTGAAACTCATCTCTGAGCATCGAGAGAAAATAACCAATCACAGCTAATTATAATTGAATAATGCAAACTGTTGCTTGATGTGGTGAGTGTAACGGATCATCAGCCAATCATCGGTCGGCTAACTTCAGTGTTTCTGTTTGTGCAGAAAGCAGGAATAAACAAGGAATTTTCTTAGATGAGCAACTTCAGGGTTCAAATCAGAAGCTGAGAGGCACAATTTAACTGTAACTTTGACAGTTCCAGCTCTCACTGTAAAAATACTTGCTCTTGCTTTTGTCTGAAAATGTCCAGAACCAACAAGCTCAGCACTAAACTGACCAAACTAAGACAAACAGATGCATAAAGTTGCTCTGAGATTCTGCTAGCAGTCAGCACAAGTTTGAAAAGCACTCAGAAAATACAAAGAAGGAAAGTGAAATGACTTAGTGGCTGAAAGTGCGAGACAGCTGCTAACCCTGGCAGGCAGACTGCAAACTTCTCTCGCATAAACTCGAACTTTGAAAGGGTGTATGAAGTGGTGTGACCCAGTCGCTCAAAGACATTCAAAGCTACTTGTTTTTATATTATTGTTTCTAATAAGAAGGCTCATACGGCTTTGTTTCAGACCGAAACTGGCTATGGGATAAAAAAGTAAACTTGTTATGAAAGTTTTGAGGTTCTGGTTCAAGATTTAAGCCTGATTTTTTTTTTCTTCACACTGGATCCTTTGAAAGCAAACATCTTAAGTAAGGACTCAAAAGTTTGGACCAAAAAAAAAAGCTCTGAAGAAGTATGATCTATTGGCTCAAAGTGCTGTGTGGTTGCACTGAAGTTTTGACATTGTGGGTTCATGCCTGAGTAAGTTATTGAATTTTGAAAGCCAAGACCCAGAGGAACAGTTGAACAGTTCTCCGCTCAGAACTCGTGTGAAGGGGGACTGGGTTTGTGCACCCAAGTATAATTCATCTCAGATACTTCATCTGATAATTGGATAATGTACATTTTGCAAGTTTTTGTACTTTTCTTTGTAGTACTTTTAAATGCATGCATTTGAGATTAGTAAAGACAAGAGCTGGTCAGCTTCACAGTGGGCAGCTGTACCGATGGAAAAGGCATGTTATCCACCATACAAGACAATGTGGATCAGATGGATTAGTCTAACATCATAGATACGTCTGAAGATGTGGCTGGTTCAGATTGCTGTTCACTGCAAAGGGCAAAACTGCATCTAGTAGAGAAGATGATCGCTGAAGGGACAAGAGACAAGTTCAGAGTCAATTGACTGGCATCCCTGTCAGGTCTACTGAGCATAAGTCATTTGTTTCTGGTAATATCAATTGTAAAAGAAAAATAAATAAATAAAAACAGCTAAAAACTGATTTTGTATAGTTCATGAAAGTTTTGTAAAAATAAGGCTTTTAAAGGAGTGTAATAACATATGAACCACAGCTCTGAAGCACTGCATCCTTCTCTTTGGACAATGTTTAGAGATACTCTGAAGTACTTTTAATGAAGTTGTTTTGATATTGTACATTTATTTCCAATTTTGTGCGCACATAGCGGACTACTACATGTACAGTATGCAATAGTCTATCTATCTATCTATCTATCTATCTATCTATCTATCTATCTATCTATCTATCTATCTATCTATCT